TTTTTCCGATACTTTTAATTGAAAAATAACTCATGCACCGCTCTGCAATTGATCTCAAACTACATCGAAAACTTATTAGAACCATGTTATGCGATATCAACTCAATATGATCTCTTTATCTATGAAAAACCTTACTATTCTGTTTGACCTTACTTTCTCCTAAGTGGTTGATAGTTAATAGCAATTGATTTTCTGTCTGTAAATAAAGTTAACTATCATACTTCTTAAATGTGATATTGATCATTTAGTCAAATTCTAATAAGAGATTATTAGAATAAAACAAGAAAGTTATTTAATGACTAAACTTACGATAGTTTTCTTTAAAAACATAAATAAATGTAACCATTACATGAACTCTTAATACCTGCTTCGAATATTGTAATGAATAGAGTATTTGTGTAAAAAACGTTGTTCTACGATGTTTCCTGTTTAACGTTAAAGTCAATGTAGACTGATGAACGTACGTGGCAAAAACTAACGCAAAAGATTTATGATTACACCATGCCGAATTACAGTCTAACGCTAAGCCGTGAGAAAAGATATAAAATAGTTTGAAACTGGGTTGCGTTTGTCCGTTATTTATTATCCAATAACTGGTACATGAATATTAAAACAATTGAAATATTGTTTGGAAGTACAAGCTACCTTGGTACACGAATTCCGGAAAGAAATCGTCGCTCCAAGGGAAAGATTGAAAGAATGAAACATAACCTAAAGCGCGACAAGCGAAAAGAAATGGAAGGAACGTGGGAACAGTCGAGTATGGAGACACATAGAAATGAAGGTATGAACGGGAAACGGTGGAATCTCGGGTTGGAACGAATGAGATAAGAGAGATGTTCTGCTGTCGCGTTAACGATTGGGAAATATTTCCCTCAGTTCCGAAAAGATAGGAGTATGTCGATGTAGCGATTTATTGGTTTTAATAAACTTATATACCCTCCTGGTGCTTAACCGTTTAAGTTCCAAATAAAAACATTAAGAAAAATATATTTATTTTCATAGTATACGTTATTATCTTTAACAGAAATTAATATTTTTATAAAAACGTTATTCTAATTGTTAAAAAGGAAGACGATTACTACATCGATTTTCTACTGATGACCGAGGAGTCCACTGGCTCGTATTTTCATGATACTGAAATATGTGGTTTCAAGGCGATGCCACCGGGAAGTGAAGGGTTACACCGCTACCAACGTAATATCTGACTAACTGAATTATGTGTGGAATTTGTCACTTTGTGTAAAGATATTATCCGTACTAGTTCAATATTATTGGTATAAAATTTCTTTACAAGAATAATAATAACAAAATTATATGTTTTCATAGATACACTGGCCCGCGAATCAGTCGACAATCGTTGTTAGTAGATATACTTGGGACGTGGAAAAATGTTAAATGAATACTTGATTAATTTAGTTTGTTTATCACTATGAGAAAAGAAATTGTAAAATACCTGACATTAAGAATCATGTTAATGATTTCAAGAACTTGCGAAAAAAATAATTGCATTCATGTAGATATGAATAATATTACAATAATAAAATACAAGTTATTCAGAGATTATAAGCTAAAGAAAAAAAAAGAAAAAATTACAAAAGTATGGGCGAGATCGATCTTAAGACCACCAAACGTTTTAGCCGAAGATATTACTACTACTGCTGCAACACCTTGGTGTAGTAGGATTCTTCTAATAGTCTTATTACGGTAGTATACAAACTTAAAGCTCATTTTTTTTTTAAACGGAGAACCATTGTAAAGAAAACCATAACGGTTTTTCATTTCTAGATATGTACTATAACATGAATAGGGTTTCATTTAAAAACAGATTTTTATGTCTGGCCCTCTTCTTGTAAGATACGATCGTCTGTACGATATATTAAGTCAACCCATAAATAATGCGGTTTTTTATATTTCTTTTAATCTTAAAATAAAAATAAACAAACCTGTTTTTAATCTAAAACATATCCTCCTCCATTATCTATAAATTTCCTGTTCATTATAATTACTTTAAACAACATTTTGTTTGTCTTCATTTTGAAAAATAAGGAAATATAAAAAACCGCATTATTTATGGGATGACGTAATATAACGTTTACTTTGAGAATAATACCTACTTGAAAATAATACGTAATATTTAACACTCATAGATTTAGAAAGGACAAGAAAATGCTGTATCGATATTTGGATAAAATAAACGTCATTGTAAAAAATTTTATCGTAACCAATCTGTTCCTAATTGCAGTGGAATGAACAAATACAAAAAGCCCTTTAATGAAACATCTTTTTCATTTGTCTTGAATTTAGTAACTTCCATTACTAGATATCATGTAGGTATTGTTTATAAACTAAATAGATGTTGCATATCAAATGGAAAATCATATCCTGGTCATAATTGCATGCGCACATAGTGAATTTTCAAATTCAATTTTTTCGAAAGTTAATTATTGTACAAAAAAATTCAATTTCAATTTTCTTTTTCTTTTTTCATACGGAATCACCTCGCCTATCGCATGAAATGTCATTCGAACGCACACTGTCCTATAAAATCCAACAAGCATTAGAAGTTCCACAAATCAAGTTCAAAAGTTATAAAATATTTTAAGTTTAATTACAGAATAAATGAGATCACATTGCCGTCGCCCATACTGTTCATAATTGTAATTCTAAAGTAAGCATACTTCTAATAAAGTTTCGGCAAGTTTAAACAACAAAGTTTCAGGTTACAAAGTGCAACCTAGAAATTAAATATCTTGAAAAAAATTAATTTGCAGACTTATTCTTAATTAAGTTCGTAATTTTTCTTTTGTTCTGCGGGGAGAACAGCCTTTCCGGTTACTTTTCTCAGAACAACAACAATATTACAATATAACGGGTAACGCTGTCACCGACACATATTTAACCAAACTGCATTTCAGTTTAACATATAATAATTATATATTAATAAAGAACAACTACAATATTAAATGTGTTTAAGTTGAATATGCGCATCTTTTTAATAAATTCTTGAAAAAAACTGTGTATGTTGAAGAAAAACGATTTTCAGATCAGTATCCAACGTTCAAGGATATAGCAGAAACGACTATGAAGTGATAAAAGTCGAAATAGGTGCTGTAGAGTGTAATTAGAGGATACTGGGATCAAAGGAACACGGACAATATTGTACCCTGATCAATATTTACCACAACTAGAAACAGTACATAGTATCCAGACCTTTGCGAAATCAATTACGTTCGATGACACACATGTCTAACGAATTTGCGTGTTTTATGACAAACAGATATAATTGAGAATCCGTAAATACAATTATTTAGTATTTTTAATCTATCACTTTATATAAAACTATTCCTTTAACGTCCAAATAGATACAATTTTGAAACATACATTTCAAATAATTTTGCTAAAGTAATATTTTCGACAGATAAGGTATTACTATTTTAACTATATAAAGTAGAGCATGAATATGCGATTTTTATATTTTAAACGTGTACTTAATGTATATCTTGGCAATAAAGATAAATTAGGAATTCAAGGAATTTTGAATTTATCTTTGAATCTATAATTTTTTATTTAAACATGACTGTTCCTACAAATCAAAATATGATTTTGAATTTACATCGTTCAGACTAATACTTCGTGAATGTAGAATCAATTCAAAGCAGATAAATAGGAATGTTTAAAAATAATAAAAATATTTTTAGCATATTTCCAATAATGTTGATAAAACGAAGCTTCTTTTAAACAAACTTTATTTAATCAATACATACATTTAACTCAGGTGATAACAAATTAATAAACTTCGTCCAAAAAGAAAATATTTTTAGCCGAAATGAATTACATTTTTAAACATGATTCGCACGATGATGATAATCGATATAAACAGAAGGTATTATTGATGCAGTAAATACTTCGAGTTTTAGCGCGAGTTTCGAATATTTCTAAAGGAAATACTACTTTTAGATATTACTTTTAAAAACTTATTGCAGCAATTAAGAGATTTTATTTGAAAAATTACAGTTACGCTTTACGCTTTAAATTATCGATTCAAAATTACCAAAACTTATAATACCTATAAAATATCCAAAAATATAGGAAAGGTACTATGCGCCTCTCACGTTAGGGCCGCCGACCTGAAATTTAAAAGTGCACGGGGGCAAGATGTCTATTCGCGGCGCTCGGCTCGATAGTTATCGCGGCTCAGTTTCAAATCAGACGGCCAAGAACAGAAGTGTACCGAAACTGAGTCTCCCTTTACCTTCGTGCATTTTTTAGCCACACGCCGGCGGTTGTAACGTAAAAGGCAAATAGCATACTGTTCCATTTTCGAAAGGGGATGACGTACACTTGTGTCTTGTGCGTAACATGACAACAAAATTTTCTATTTTGGGAGAAACACTCTCTCCAACACAAGAAAATAAAAATAAAGTTATGTTACTATTATCAGTGGATCAATAGTATCGACAACGTATAAACCTTACATAATTCACTCGCTATGAAATTTTTAAGATATATAGACTTATATTCCTTCAACTATCGTAGAAAGTTGCTCTGATTGTTACGATCAGAACAGAATCCGTTAAAATTACTTGAGCAATATATACGAAAGCATGCAGGGCAAACTAAAAATAATGTGGAGTAACCTATTTTCTCTGATATCTGCAAATATTCTCAGATATTAGCAGACACTTCTCAATTAAATGGGGCAGGGACGTGATTATTTGATACACGATAATTCTTTACAGTACAACTGATATGGGCGTGTTAATTCTTTTTTGTTCAAATACATAGCTGTTATCGAAATAAGTAACAGTAAGTTGATGCTTTAATTGGTAGTTTCTTGCCCTTTATAATTAGAGTTACATGTACTGAAAATTTGTTTCAGTCTAAATATGTTTAGAACTTACTTACATAATACTCTTCTGTTATTTAACTCATACGAATTGTTATTTTCAGGACAGAATGATAAAAGATTTATATGAAATTGTTGCCCATTATTTCAGATCCAAGCGTCACCACAGGACCAGTATTCGTCGCTCCAGTTGGAAACCAAACAGCAGCTATTGGCCGTGAAGTCGTTTTTTCCTGCAGCGTACGCAACATAGGGAAGTACAAGGTAATGGCTTAGGCAATGAACACCATAAAACTAAGTACTACACTACAGCGATGAAACTCCCGCGCCTTGGTTATACTGGTATTATATTTTTGAATGAAACCTGAACAATTCTCAAGTACCCGCAAATGAGACACCGAGGAGGAAGAGTACAGACTTAATGTTTAATGCTTTATTTATTGATACAAAAATATTTTAAAAAATTATAATAAAAAATGTATTTTCAATTTTTTATCCATCTACATCAAACAATTATTCAATAACTTAATCAATCTTAATTTGGTCCATCTTAATTTTTATTGATTATTCTGAAATATATTAGTTGAAATGTATACAGAATAATTTGAACTTTTAAATATGAAAATTTCATTTGTTTATTGAAGCTATATTTTTTCTATCCGAAAGAGCAAACGCAAATAAGATGGAAATGCAATTATGCGTTTCATTTAAAGAATAATTTTTAACAATATTCTCTACGTTCCTTTAGTTCCACAAATGTAAATATCTATAATTTCTCTGGGAGTAATTATATACCTGATGTTCGTTTTGAAACGACATATCGAAATCCAGTCAATTCCCCATTTAATAATTGTTCCATTAAATGGATAAACTCTGTCATTTAATCATTCTCAATAATTTGATTTAATAATTATAGAGATAAAGCAATATATCGTAGCATGTACTGCCTTATATGCAGTATGTATTTGCCAAATTTGTTGAAAGATCGCCATTTTATAATAATTGTAACAGTATTATTCATATGATTGTTTAAATATTCATTTAAATACAAAATAAATTACGAGAAGGGTTTTTATCCAAAGGTACGACAGATTAGCGTATAAAATTCGTAATTAACAGATTATCAATTAGTAAGTAGCGATAAGTACTGAAATTTCTACTTTACTCGGTTCGATTTAAAATCCGATTTATTTTACAAAGAAGACTTTATACAAATGTATTACAATCCATGTATATATTAATGTATTTTATTATTATTTTATACTATTTCAATTTCTGTGTGATATTCGCACACATTCTAATTACATCATTTATTTTAAAACCAATTGTTTCAGATTTCGTATACTCGGAAGTATAAAATATTATGATTACATCGGAGGATAGACTATTTTTTACCTTGACATTAATATAGTAACTATCGCTCCTATTTTAGAAATAAAACATAATTGTGACAAGAAATCACAGTATTAATGACACACACGTACTTAATTATGTAAATACTTACGATATTTACAGTAACCAGTACCCTCAATCTTGAGGTATTGAAATCTAATAAACTTCGTTGATGAATATATGAGACAGGAAATTTAATGTAATAGAAAATTAAAATTTACTTCACGGTACCATATTTAAAAAATTTTTTTTACACTTATAAATAATATTCGATGAAAAAAGAATAAATTTTAAGTTTCAGGTTTAGGAACTCTTTAGTTTAGAAGTCATGCATATATAAAGTTAATTCATAAACATGTATATACAGAGTATTTCTGAATCATAGCGCACAAATTATAGGGCGTATAAAACTCACTAAACTGACTAAACCCAAATAAATATGAAGCTCAATAATTTCCTAGATAAAAATAGATTTCGTTTAAAAAAAATCTATGGGAACCAAATTGAGAACATAAAGTTATCTCGCAAAGTATCAGTGATACGAACAAATGTGTCAAACGAAAGTTAAAAAGTATAAAATAATACATCTCATGACGGGAGGTATTTGACAGTGACGTGACATAGAAACATGTTGCTACAATGTATAAATAAAATCCTACAGATTCTATTCCATATTTTTTAAGCCTACACTTCAACGTTTCCAAATCATAAAAATGAAATTTTTCACTTAAACCGTTATGAAGATGTCAGCATCCAAAGTTCCCGGTTCGTCAGTAGTAATAGTAGCCGACTGACAATGCAACTGTCAAGAGAAAGTAAAGGGACGCAATATTCAGGGTCCTTGTTTGTTACACGATGGGCTTCCGGTCTGAAAATGTGAATGACATCATTTATCGATCGAACCGTGAATTCACGGCTGAGAACACAGTCACTGCTCTCTCTACCTTCCTTTACTCTCCTATACTTCCTTATGGGATTCTATAGGCGTCTCACTCGGTCCACCACATCTTAAGGTTGAGTCATACAGAAAATCTATGGAAACTGAAGCGTCACGGTTGCTGAATCAAGCAAGCCCTTACCTTTCTATCCACGAATGGCGAGTCGCATTGTCCGTCGGCTACTATCACTACCGGCGGACCGTGTGTTCGCTTTGGATGCTGATATCTTGGTAACGGCTTAAGCGAGAAATTTCATTTCTATGATTTGGAAACGTTTGATGTGGACTTCAAAAGTTTGGAATAGAAACTATAGAGTTCTATTTACAAATTGTAACGTGACCTTGCAGGACGTTTCAAGGTCACGTCACGGTCAAATACCTGCCGCTGTGAGATGTATGTAGTATATCATATCCTGTCACTTTTATTTAACTTATTTGATTGCATTATGTAGTCAAATTTATATTTATATTTATACTATATTCTGTTGCTAGATGTGTAGTATCTTATATCCTTAATTATATTATTTAGTCAGCAGTATTGATGTACCCAAACGCCTTTTATTTCATACCCTGTTATTTTTGTTTGACATATTTTATCGTATCACTTATATTTTTCGAGATAATTCTGTATTTCCAATTCAGTTCCTATACATTTTTGTTTAAACAAATCCTATTTTTATCTCATGAACTACTGAGCTTTCGACCCATGCTTACTATTGTCAGTCTAGTGAGTTCTATACGCCCTATCATTTGTGCGTTTCAATTTAGAAACAATTTAGTTCAATTTAGTTAGCTCCAGTTTTGATGATTTTGAAATATATTGTCAAGGTTGTCATTTTAAACAACTCTTTCTTCTGAGAAAGAGATCGTGCAGCTATGTATGCATACCTATGCAACATCCCGGACACATTATCTATCGCAGTAGCTGAGGAATTCTTTTGCGGTTATTTCGAAAACAACAAGACAGCGTCAGATTTTTCAGAAGAAAAACTTATTTAAAATGATGACCTTGACAACATATATCAAAATCAGCAAAATCGGTACTGCTTATATCATTATACATATATACATATTTATTACTTAACTTTACATATGCATAATTGTTACACTAATGAATTTCTAAACCTGACACTTAAAAGTTATTCTTTTTCATTAAATACTATACATTTATACAAAACAAATTTTGTAAGAACTGGTGCCACGAAGTAAAGTGTAGCCTAATGAAATAATAAAACACAGTAATAACCTGATAATTTATTATGAACTAATCTAACGTTATCATTGATACGTTAGAAAGCTGGAACCGACGATAAAAGTGAGATAAAAGGCCAACAATTAAAGCAGGCTACTCGGGCGTTTGAAAGTGACGGATATGAGACGAAATTGAATCACCGGAAACGAAAAATTCTCGCCCGCTTCTCGCATCTCGTTCTCTTTCTTCGCCCCCACCCTCGAAATCTCTTACATCAGCGGCCACTTAATCTTCATACAAGACGCTACGTGCTCGCGCAACCGCGTAAAAGTCAAACAGATCGTGCTTGGATCGACTTAAATCGCTTGCACGCGGTACAGGCAGGAGTGGGGGAAGGTAGGAAGGAAGGAAGGAAGAGTGATTTCGTCCGCATTCCGGCTCTTGCGTTTGTGTGTACGTGTTTGCGGAAAATTCTTCCTCGCCTCAGCTTCTTCTCCGCCCTAATCCGGCCGAAAGCCGTCTTCCCTCCGACGCTGGCTATATTTAGTAATAAGTTTTCCGATCGAAATCTATATATTCCGGGAAGAAGGATGAACGAGCTGAGGCGGCAAGGGTAAAGAGCGCGGAAAAGAGGAGAGGACAGGGAAGAAGAACGAGAAAAGAGGGAAGGAGCTGACGAGAAGGTGGGGAAAAGACTGTGGTGAAAGTAGAAGACGGAGACACATTTTCTCTAGCGACAGATTCCACCCGTAAAGTATCCACCGAGATGAAATATTCGGTCTATAGAAAGCCACTCAAGGCAGCTTGGCAGGCAGGGAAGGATTAAGATAAGCTCGGTCCCCGTCAAGTCCAAATAGTTTCCGAAGGGTCTCCTCTCGGTGAAAATACTAGCCAAACCTATGTTGTTTTACTTTAATTTTGTTTCGTGTTTCCTGTCTCGCCGCTTAGCCGAACCACTGAATATATCGGCCTGTTGTTAAAAAGATGAACGCGGCTCGGTCTTTGCCGGGTTTTAACCTCTTTCAAGTTAGTTCCTCGGCAATATCAACATTATCTTAAACTTTGCGTTTCTGATAGAATGCTTCTCCATAATCCGTTAAGTTTCCAGAAGAGAAGTAAAGTAGTTTAACAATAAGAGGAGCAAACGAGACATTTGGTCGTAAAAATTAACGTCTTCTCGATTACGGAACTTTCCAATGATCTTCCTTTTCTCATTCATTTTTATCCTTATTAAAGGATTATTTATTCCTTCTTTTTTATACTTTCGCTGGAGGTATAAAATGTTGAATCGTATGACAAGATTTATTTTGTCATAGCTTCACCTCCTTCGTTTGAAAATGGTTTAATTCGTCGGTTATGTAATGAAGCGTATGAAAAATTAATACGAAATTAATCTGGCAAATAGGCGAGACGATTACTTCAAATTTACTTATGAAATATTTGATTCCATTCGAAATTGTTTTCTATTTAACGAACGCCTTTTACGTGGCTTTCGTAATTCGTGTCCATCTAAATATTGTATTTCAAAAGTAATTATGAATTAAATGGTGCAGCACGCAGTATGAATTATACGGAAATAACATAAAAGGAATTAAAAAATATATTCATCTACAATATTTGTTTTTTACATTTAAACATTTGTTCATATTTTCTAGATTGTTATGATTAGAATGCATACGATACGAATAAATGCATAAAATATCCAAGGTATAGGGTTTTTTGCAATATTTGCTACGGAATACT